TGTGATTACTGATGGCAGGTTATCTTTCAAATTGTACAGTAAATCGTATTGACGGCAACGATAAGCACGCCTGCCATTTCTTTTCTGTACCAACTGACGACCACTGGAAAGGCCAGCTGAAGCCAAGGTCTTTTCCACCTGGTCTCTCCATTGCAGGAAAGCTCCTCCTATTCCTCTGCTACCAACAGCTAAATTCACATTGAATATTTTCAGGGCTAGAGCCTTCGGTCGTATAACATGACCGAGGCAGCGACGCCACTGTATTTAAATCCGTCGCATCATGTCTACAGTGTGTACAGGTCATACTGCTCACCCTGCAATAGGAAATTATGCAATATGTGTTAGCGAAAACATTAAATTTCATCTGATTTCGATGTGGGAAGAAACACCTGCTATTATGTTTTCAGGGCCAAACGCAATTAAACTGAATAGCCGGTATCAGGCCGATGCTGGCGTTTTTTTTTTGTTAATTTACCGCTCGTAGAAATGGTGGATGAGTATATGATTTTTCAACGCAAAAAATACCACTATTTAATTCCCTCAAAAAATGCATGATAGCTGAAATACAATGCCGGCGAACGGCGAACTCACCACAGCGAAATTCGCGCTGTCAAAATTAGAACACCCGCAAGCATATGAAATTGAACACAGCCAAAGCGAAATGCGAAGTTCGCTTGGCGGCGTTTCATGGCGATAGATTTATTTCTATCGCCCTGCTGTGCGATGACAGCTGTGCGTGCCAAAGGTGGCCGTATTTGTTTTTTGCTTTCAAAGTTTTAAAATAAAACAACCTAAGCACGACTTTTTTTTGTTGTTTGAAAAATATAGTTGTGGATTCGTTAAATCTGGCTTGAAACAAATTATTTATAATAATCTTTCTTTGTTTTACATTTATATTTGTTATCATTTCCTCATTTCTAAATATGGTTTAGTTTTTTCTAAATATGGTCACCCAAATTATAAAGGCGACCAAATGGGATCAGCTGTTTTCGCTAACGCTCTAATTCTGTTTAAGTAGGCGAAATAGCTGGGCGAACGGTGAACGACAGCATCGCCCAATTCGGCGAAGTTTGCCGTTCGCCGGTATTGTATTTCAAGCATGAAATGGAATATATAAGCAATAGATACAGTGGAGAAAATATTAATAGGGAAGAGACATTGTAGCATCCTCCGAAAATTAGCACAATTCGACAAAGTTTCATCAAAATTTGTAGATTTATAATTTGAAACATTCTGAGTTATCAATTTTGTAGCCCACTCAATTTTAGTGAAACCAAGTGCAAATTATAATTAGCTAAGACTTACCGTTGATTTTTGGTAATTCTTTTTTTTTTTGTGGAAGGTGTTGCTCATTTTCTCTATACAAAAAAAAATTTCGAACACACTTTGTACGTAAGTAAATGCACAAACAAAAAATTGCTAAAAATCAATGGTAGGTCCAAGCTGCTTCGAACTTGCTCTTTATTATACTAAAACTTAATGGACCACAAAACTGTATGCTCAAAAAAATAAAAAAAAAAAACTGATTAAAAAGTTTAAAATTTTGATCAGCATTTGTTTAAATTCGATGAATTTTTGTAAATGTTCTACAAAGTGTGAAATTTTGACTAACATGTTTTGTCTAGATAGTAATATATAACTACATATATATTCATAAAAAATAACAAACTTTTTTTTAAACAAAGAAAAGTTGCCAAAACTTGCTAAAATTGTTTCCCTATTTACATTCTCGCCACAATATAAATATATGATATTTACATTTTTCGATAATTTTTGAATTTTTTCTTTCTATTTGCTTTATTTTAAATAACTGTATTAAAAGATGTATTTTTATTCTAAAAGCAAAATGATATATTCGGATTCGATGCTTTAGAAATCTGGTTACCATGGTTATACCGCATCAGTTTGAGCGGTCCCTAAAACCGCAGTGGTTTGTATTGATCCCAAGTCGTGAATTTTTGTGTCGCATCTGCTTCAGGCCACCCTAAATCATTAATTTTTACAATTTAACACAATCGAAAACCTGGATATTAAAAAAAATTTACTATTTCTTTTCTGCTCCTATTCGGCATATTTAATTCACTATAAAAATGTCATCGCCGCCGGGAATACACAATTTTTTATACCCGAGCGCACTTGTGCACAAGGGTATATTAATTTTGTTCACATAACGGTTGTTTGTAACAGCCAAAACGAATCGAGATAGATATAGACAAATGTATACATAAATGATCAG